TCTATAATTACATTATTTTAATTATTAGGATTTTTGATACCGAAATGGAAGCATCCATTATACTGCTTTTTTATCTTGGAGATGGACAGTCTACTAAAATAAAAATCTTAACCCAAATCTGTGTTAGCTAGCATACTTTAGCTAGCTTTAGGTCATAAACCCAAGATGAACACAAGTTACAAACTAATCTTTTATTAGCTTCTTTATTATTCTTTGATTAGTTTCATTTTATGAGCAGGCAAAACGTTGGAGCAACGGTAAAGTGTAGCCTCAGGAAAGAATATTTGTAATCCTTTTGGGATGCTTCATCCTGTGAATTTCTTGACTCATTATTGGCATCATGCGTTACTAATTGTTGAAGAGCTTATGTCTTCCTTTCATCAGACTTTTCACTATCTTTTTATTTATTTATTTGCAAACCAGAAAGCAGGAGGACTAAAGAAATTGGGATATGCTAAAAGTTAGAGGGGTAGCTAGCAATGCTAGGAGGAAGAGCAGGGGATTAGGAATAAAGATATATTGGTTACTGCCATTGCTTTGATTTCCTGGGATGATACGTAGTTAGAGTGGTTTTATCTGTGGAAAACATCGCATAGATTTTAACATTTTAACAAAAATGGAAAATTTTGATTTTTGCACAGCTGTGTATCAATCTGAAAGAGATGCTTGTCATTCCCAGTGTTTAATCAGAAAAAGTTCTGCAATAGAGGAGTCAAGGATTTGGCTTGGACATAGGTGTTGACAATGTGTTGTAAAATTCAGCAGTGCCTAAGGGGCTGAGTGTATAGTTCCTGGAGAGGCATCTTCTGGCAGTGGCAGGCAGAAGCTGTCAGAAGGAATGGGATGCCACTCCTGTCTCCTTGGATGGAGCAGGCACAGTTCTCTGCTGCCGTTCTCTGTGGCATTCAGGAGAGGACTTCAAAAGGTTTTGAGTGGTTGTAGAAACTGCCTCCTGCAGAGTTTTGTAAGTTAGAATTTTTTATATTAATCACGGCGCCTTCCCTAGGAAGAGCTTCATGGGTAGCTAGAGGTCCTGGTGCTGAGCTCATCAGAGTTTGTATGGTATGCATATCCATGAAAGAATAATCCCAAATTAGATTTGTGTTGTGGGCTGGTAGACTTTTCTGGCATGTTGGTTGGAAATGTTGGGTCAGTAGGTGGATGAAAAGGTATAAAGGGACAGAAGACAAAGAGGTGAGGAAAACTTGCTTATAGACCTGTAGGAGCCGATCAATCCAATGTATTTGGCTCCAATATTTGGCACAGACTGTGGCTGTGTGCGCTGATTCCTGTGTGCCAAGCTTCCTGACTTGGTGAACTGCATAGGATTGATAAACAATCTTGTGGTGAGATGATAAAAATAGGAATCTAGGAGAGGCTCACCAGCAGAGGTGATCATTCCCTAGAGATCATACACCAAACACTGCTGTAGGGCAAGGCGTGCGGCCAAACATCTGGCACAGTCATCCTTTGTGAGGCTGGGTACCTCTGTACATAGAGATAGGAGTTTACCTACTGTCCCTGTGGCAGGACAGCCTTGTTGAGCACCATCTGCTACTGAAACTATAAATGGGCTTTTCTTCTTGATTTTCTCTTTTCTTCCAATGATTCCCAAACTCCACGCCCTAAATGAACAACAGTTGCCGTGAGCTGCCACACAGCTTTGTGAAACTTAATGAAAAGCCATCTTAAATGCACCGTGGTCCCACAGACTGATTTATTTTGCCTCAAGTCACACTTGAGGAGTGTAGTTGCTGTAGCCCAGTGAGTTGTGATACAAACTAGAGCAAATCTTGGAGGGGAAAAAAAAATACAATCTGGATTGAGAGACTCCTAAAATGATAGGCATATTTGTTTCTTGGAAATGTGTTCAACACTTATTTGTGATACAAAGCCAATTAAAAAAAAAGCACAGCTAGCTAGCAGCTTTTGTAATTATAGTTCACTGTCAAATTTATGACTCCCAAGTGTAAGTGGGGTTGGTGGAAGTTGTATTGTGTTAGGTGACATGATGAGAAAATAATGTGAGGTGTCTGTTGTGATCCGTGGGTCAGCTGCAGGTAGTTCACTGCAGTTTGAAACACTGTCTTGAGAAAAAACAGCACTGAATTGCCAAATGTTACCAATGATACAGATATTTGCTTAGAATGTACCCGCATTTCAATTTATGAATGTATCTCTCAAAGTCTGCAGGTTAAATTAAATTATTTTGGCAGCTGTTTCTTCTGAAAGCTAACTCTCTCCTAGAATTCCTTCCTGATTCTGTATTTAAACAGAAACAGTGCATGGATTTTTCCATATTTGCTTTATGTTACTTTTGTTATTTGCAGATCTTTAACTCCCCCCTCCCTCTGCCCAAGAAAATCAAAACATAATGAAACTTCTCACAGAATGTTTTCTTTCAAGCAAAACAAATGGCTAAACTGACTGTTTTATGTTGCTGCTGTTTATCTGAGGTTTAGGATGAGTTTAGCTGTATGAAGGAAGCAGTCGTGTACTTTTAATATTGTGATTGCATGACACTAGAATGTCAGTGATTCTCAGAAGACTTCAATTCTAAAAACAAAATTGCTTTTACTAAATTGGAAGGTAAGTTGATTTTATGCTGAAAAGAAAAAGAAATTATCTTGTTCTTCCTCTGTATCCTATATTTATTCTGATGTTAGTCAGTTTAAAAAAGAAACATCAGTAAGTATATTCTGCTATTACATGCTAGGGGTAGCCTTTTACTATGAAACTTCTATTTGAAAAAGGAAATTCAATCTCACCCAGTTCCCCTCATCCCCTTCCTCTCCCAAATACCATTTCCTCTGGCTCTTATTTTAATTGTAGTTTTGTCTAAGCAGTGCTCTTTCAAATGGAAGATGGATTAAAAACCTAGCAACCTTCTCTGCCCTTCTGACAATTTCCACTCCGTGCTTTTTTTTTTTTTTTTTTTTTTTGGTTAGATCCATTTTTAATAAAAGAGGAGTGTGTTTGTTTCCAGTGTAATGAATTGGACTGCTGTAATATAATTTACATCTTCCTTTGTGGAGCAAATCTATGACATCTGGACTGTATTTGTTTTGAACAGGGGTGGACGAAAACCATTGGGATTTTTATCTTTAATTTGCAAAAAAAGTAGCTCTGAATCTGCAGAAGATACCAAAGGGAATAGAGGGAAGATCCAAAAGCCTCGGATTGTGACTCCAAAGCGAAGTCTGAAAAAGCCCCCTCCATCCACTAAAGATGATGGGAAATCTTGTTCCCTTCCTTCTACAAGCACACCATCATCCGTGGAGTATAAGAATGTAGCTGCTGATGCTGCAGTTACGGTATGTGTTTACTTCTGAATGCCCTTACAATTTCCCCTCCGTGCTTTTTTTTTTTTTTTTGCTTTGGAGTCAGATCCAGTTTTAATGCAATCATGAATTATCAGCCAGGATGGATAGTTTTTGAATGTCTGATTCTACAGATGCTTATTATTATAATCTTATTAGTCATGGTAGTAAAGAATATATTCACTGCAAAAACAGAGTCAGACCATCTTTCTTGGAAGTGTTTGTAAATATAAGTCCAGATCAATGGAATAATGCTTATTTCTATTGAGTAGCAGGTCTCTGCATGCTGGGAATGTGATAACCCATTTTCTAAACATTCAAACGCCTCAAAAAGTCTGAAGTACAGCTTTGTGTGGGGGTGGCAGAGGGATCGTGTAACTTATTTCACTCTTCCTTCTTGGCAGTGACAGCTAATCTGCCTTGTCATTTACAGTCAGTGTAGCAGTAACATAATGCCTGACTTCAAATCCAAGGGGGACAGGTTCCAACTAGCACTGAAATTAAAGTCTTTTAATGAAATTTCCACAGAGTTGCAAAGTTTGACCTGTAAGGGATAAGGACAGAGGTTGTACCCAAGTAATATTTTTGTGCACTTGCCAGCAGACTCAAGAGTAGTGCCCCGTGTTGACAGTTTCTGCTTTAGCAATGGTGAAGGCTGCCGTCGCTGCTTGTGCAAGGTTTGTGTTTCACCAACAGGGCTGTGTATTTACCTCACTTTCTTGAAGTGCTACTAAATGTCACTCTCTGAAGTAGTTTGTGTTTCATGAGGTTAGAGTTATTCCGTTTCAGTTTTCACCTTACAGATGGAATCAACAGTTGAAATAGAAAGGAAAAGCTCTTTTATATTGTACTTTTATATATGATGTCCCATGGTGTTCTAGTGCACATCTGAGCTTGATTAAGAATTGTTGTCCTAAAGACCTCTAGGAAGACTCTGGTTTGAGGGCTGCAGAAATCAAACCCAATGGCAACACTGTCAAACAGATGAGAACAGAGAAAGTTTATGAATGTTCAGACTGATTTTATAGGTTGTATGTTAAGAGTGGTCACACTACAGATACTATTGCAGATTTTTTTCTGGTCTTGTCTGTATTCATGGTTTATCCCAAGCTCATTCCAAAACACGTTGACTCCTTAAGCTATGTTTTGGTTTAAATGTTAATGTTTTTAATTGGTGTGTGGATTGCCTTGCCAAAATTGCAGCTCCTTTAATGTTGAAAACAGCACTGCCCTGTTTCAGAAGTTCATCAGGTGAAAGCATTAGGACTTTTTTTCCTTCCTTCCTGTTCACACCAGTGTGGTGAATTACAGGTCAATGGCTTCATAAAAAATACTTGTGTTGGTGTTGTTACTACTCTGTCTGCAAAGTTCTTCCTAATCTTTCCTAAAAAGTATGGTTGTAAGAAGTCAGCAGTTTATTAATGTGTAAGAGTTTGTGAAGATTTTTGTGAAGGCCAATTTCAGACCATACAAGAAGCAAAGGCAGTAGCCACAATGTTTCCAAGAGGAACCCTGCTGAGCGATGCAGATGGTGCAGAAGGAATAAATCAGTCCAGAGCACAGTTACGCCTCCAGATTTGATTTGTGAGGAAAGTAGAACAGCACAAATCTATAGCCTGAATTGTAAATTATTTGCTTATGTAAAGGTTGCTAATGTCAGCATCCCATTGCTTATTCTAGGGCATTTCATCCTCGCGAAGTAGAAGCTCATCTCTGCTGCCGCCTGGGACGGCTAATTCTGCATCTCCTAGTGGCCAGAAGCATATGAATCAAAGTCCAAGTGTTGTAACCATCACTCATCACAAATCACCTGCAGCTGCTCGAAGAGCGAAGAGCCAGCGTTCTGGTCAACTCCATGAAGTCAGAGAGGTAAGAGATAAAAATTTGCTACTTTGCTAGAACTTCTACATGCTTATTTTGATTTAGAATAAGCAATCCAGTCTGACATGTTAACAATTCTCTTTGTTTCCTACTTTGTTTGACTTCTTTGTTTTGGTGCCCTCACTAAGCAAAAGGCGGTCTTTAGTTCTGGTTCAGCTTAAAGTCTGGCATATACAGGCTTTTTTATGCTGATGTTAAAATTAGTGTGTGCACATCTTTAAAAGAGGAAGTAGGTTGGCCCCAGTACCCAGACTTTGCAGTGGTGCTGGCAGTGCTGGAGAAACATCTCTTTCAACCTTTCAGATTAGAAAGAGGGCCCTGAAGCATATAAATATAACTAGAAAAACAAAAACTTGAGTAAGTCTGATAAATGACTGTGAAAGAAGGCACAGCTCCCCATACTCAGCAGGTTGTTTGTATATGGCTATAGTCTTATATTTGTTGTCAGGTTTCTGTTGCTGGCCTTGTGATGGAAGAATCCTTTGTCTGTGTTGAACATGTGCAAATCAAACAAGAAAACATGTTTCTCTCAAAGCGTGTTTACCAGGGTTTAAGAAGTATAACTCATGTACCAATTTAAGTCTGTCTTCCAGACAGCAAAAACAGTACAGAGCTTTAAGCTTAAATAATATGGCAGACTTTCACAGAACTCACTTTCATCTTTCTTTCATCTCTTGTTATTTTTGCTTTGTCTGAATTTCTTGCTATTCTCTAATGGTGCCTATGTAAGGTCCCCCTTCCACCACTTCTACCAAAGAAACCGGTGGCAGCCTAGCTGCTTTAAAGCATTCTGTTATCACGTGGGTTTAAAATATCTGCCCTGCTCTGTCCAGTTGCAATCTCAAGAGTCTGCTTTTCAGTTTATGCTCCCTTAATATTTTATAAATGGAGACCTTTCATATAAAGAGTTTTGGAATAGATTCTTAGTGTGTCTGTGCTCACAATGAAAAATCAAATTACACATCCCGATAAAGAATGCTTGTTTATCTTCTAGTAACATTAAAAGTGAAAACTTCCCTTGTATCATCTATTGTATTAAGAGGAGTCATTCCTTGCTCTGAGGAGCACACTGTCTGAATGTCACCTACGTTTTCTTTACATTATAGAAAACTTGCATCTGTTTGTTTTTCACGAGAATATCTTATCTTTGCCTGCCAGTCATCTCCCCCAAGTCATTTCTACTTTACTGAATGTATTTGCTCTCATAGGTTGAATTCAGAGTGCACTTTAAACCTATTAATAAAATAAACAGTGGGAGTGGGAGCAGTTGCAGCTTTGTCAAATGAAGCTGGGCTGAAAGGAATTTAAAAGAGACAATTAGTGTATGAGCTGATTATAATGAGTTGGGAAGGGAAAAAGTCAACAGATGAAAGAACTGCACTTGGGAAGGAAGAAATAAATACTATCCTACAGCAAAACTAGAGAATAAGTGGCTAGGTATCATCCCTGCAGGAAAGGCCTGGGAGTAGCTGACTCATTTATTTGTAGTGTATTGCGATGTGATGTCATTCCAAAAAGGTAAATGTTACAGGACTGTAATCACAGAAGATAATTATTTTGCTATGTTTGGTGTGAGTGGTTCCTCTGCTACAGCACCGAATCCCATGAGAACAACTTAGAGTATTGCAATAAAAAGGTATTTAGACAGTGAACATATGGCAGTGATTGAAGGTTAAAAGAAATGAGATTTTTTCAGGGAGGGAAGATGGTAGTAAGATAAACAATGCATAAGAAAATTTTATAACAAGTTGTGTGAACTTTACCTTTTTGTGTATTGATTTTTCTATTTCTTTTTTTGATGTGCTGCTTCTTGAAGAAGAGCATATTGTTGGAAAAATCAGTCCTTCTACCCTCTTTCCCAGTCTCATGTAAAAAGTGGCTGCTTGACTGATCTTGTTTCCATCTGTGAAAGGATAAGTCTGTTTTTCCAGATTAAGGGAGCCGACGGATTTTGTTTCAATTGCATGCTCTATGCATTTCCTTCTCCCTCCTTTTCCAGAGTGAATGCAATAGGCTTGGGTATGTGCTGCCTGTTTTTTCAGGGAATATTCTTGTTCCCTATATGAGTCAATGGTGGCTGTTAGATGTACTCTCTCCCTTGTTAAATATATGAATAAAGAGATGGATCCAGATGCCTTCACAAAAGCGCACTTAAATCTCTTCTAGTCCTTTTTTAAAAAAAATCTGAAGTGAGAAGAAATAGGAACTAAAAGTACAAAAAGACAGGAGTTAATCCTCTCCTCAACACCCAAATCTTTGCTTCTTTGGGAGTTGTTTGGTATGACTTAGATGAAGGGAAGAGATGCAAAATGATTATAGATCTGTGTTAGCGTTCTCCTTATAGAATGAAGTCATTGAAGCTTTGACATTCAGATTTTTATTGTAATATAATTAGGATTACATTAACTAATTTTACATCTTATAAAATACAGAAGTTGAATCAATGGAAAGAGTGCATATGCTTCTGGAAAATGAGAAGCATATTATTTTTTTAAATTTTAAAACAATGTTACAATAATCCGACAATATATGAGATTTGTGAAAAACAGGAATGCTGCAAAAGGGGAATCCTTCACATGGGACATACATGGTCTTCCCTACCTTGGACAATGTCTCTGGGAAGTGCAGAACTTGAAATTGCTACTCAGTTCTCAACCACTTTTTCTTGATTTGGCCAATTTGGTTGGTTATTTGGAAACAATGAAGTGTATATCCATGTTGTAATTAAGACAAATTGTAGTCCTATATTTGACATCATGCAATAATATTTTGTAATACTTGGTTGTTCTTTTCCCCCTTTTTTCCTTTCATAGCAAGTAAAAACAACACATTGTTTCCTTCTGTTGTTTGTGCTGGCTGATTTAATTTATTTTATTTTTTTTTAGACAGCATAGAGAATTTTATTGTGAAACAGACTATTGCATAGAGGTCTATTTAGCACCAAAATGATGTGCAAAATACTATAAAAGTAGTAAAAGCAACTGCATGGGTCTCCAAAATGACAGATGTAACAGGTGTTTCTGTTGCGAAATTGGAAGTTTAGCTGTTTTCAAAATTTTGGCATGTTAAAATTGAGCAGGAATATGGAGCTTTTGTCTGCTATAAAAATTTTACTTTCAATATTCAAAGTACTATTGGATAACGTGGAAGTGAAAAAGAGCTCAGGAGCATTACTTCTCATTATAATGTATTTTTTTTTGTTTAAAATAATATTGTTCCCTTAAATCAGATTTTTGCTTATATTAACTTGGTATTAGTAGTCCAGTCAATACTGATTTATGGGATGTTATATCAAAAATTAAAATACACCATACATCAATTTGGGAGAGCTGATGTGCTATGTGCTGTATTTTATGCAGAATTATTTGAGATCCTACCTCTTTATTTGGGCCATAACTTATCATTAAAGGGGTGCTCTCAACTGATTTTTTTAGTAGGTGATTTTTATGGTAACTTAAGTGTGTGTAGTCTTGAAATTGAATTCTGTTTTTTTAACTATGCACATTATTATCCTCTTAACAAATTGTGATGAGACTTATGCTTGCAGAATTCTTTACTGCAGGCAGTTAAAATTAACAGGAACATAAAACCAACTGGCCACATCGCAATTCATATTAAATTTTAGCTGTCACTGAACTAAATAACAGTGGCACACTTCATCTTGGAGTGGTGTTATTTTGGCTGAGAATGTCTGACTATTGTACGGCCTCTGCCAGTATATATAGTTACTATTGTTGTTAACCCAGAATTGCAGTACGTGAACGTGTTATAGTAAGTTACATTAATTATTTACAGAATTCTAGAGAAATGCAGTTAACCAAAGGAAGTCTAGGGAAGTATTCATTTTTCCATAATTTAAAAAAGTTGATCGAGGAATTTCTGATCCCTTTGAAATGTGGTGTTTGTTACAACTTCTGATGCTCTACAGTGGACCAGTCATCAGCATGTGTTGCTGAACATCTGGTACAGTGAGATCCAGATTTCATGGGGGCTCCACCAGTGTGACATCCATTTTATGTGCCAGAAGTGGAAAAAAAAAAGAAAAAAGCAGGCTGCTTTTTGGTAAGATGGCAGTCCTACTTCTTCTCACATGTCATTTGCCATATATAAACACGGTTACTATTTGATTCCTGCAGGAATCATGCAACTAGCTGATAGTTCTTTGCTTCTTCCCTTAGAACATAGCAAAGTCTGGACTTGCACATATGGCTTCATGGAGACCCGTTTACCTGCAATTTTCTGGAGCTGCAGTTGTCCAATTTGATGTGGTTACTAAGAGAAAGAGGTGATACTATAACACTTGGGGACATTGCAAGCGAGAAGTGAATGTCTTCAGGTCATTATAATATTTGGATAGCAAATTTAGGAACTGTGAGTAGGTACTGCTGGCAGAAGAGGACGCTGTGGTCTGTGGAGAGCTGTGTGTTCTGTTACAGAATTAGGGCACTGCACAGGCAGCATTGCAGGTGAGAAGGTAGATGCAGTCCTCACACTGCTTGGGGAAGCTTTCAGACTTGCAGAGTTTTCACATATGTGAACACACAAAGACATACACTAAGCTGTGAGTGCGTTGATGTAAAACTTTGTAATCAGTGTTTAAGCCAGTAGAAAGGGGAAACCTGATGATTTTTGGTCCATGCCGAATTTTACTTTTCAGCTTTGAAAAAGTCAGTTTTGCTTTTTATCTCGATTTTTTTAATCCTCCTTTTGTTTCTCTAGAATTATGTATATAAAAACATCAATGGATGAGATCAATCTAATGCAAGTTCTAGCGAAAGGCACGCTGTAGTTCTTGATGTTTGGCATAGCACTGAGATTGTGTGGTAAGGGCACGTGTAAAAAGATGGCTTTGGATCCTCGAACAGGACATCATGCATGAACAGTGTGAAGTATGCATGAAGAACATTTAAAAAAAAAAACCTGCCAATAATTGAAGTGTTTTTGAAAGTATGTGTATAATTTTGACTTGTTTGGGAAACTCGCGTGTA